TGTGCTTCCCACCAAAGGAGGAGAGGGAGGGGAGAGGGAGGGAGGGAGGGAAGGGCAGGGGAGGGAGAGAGGAGTGGAAGGATTTTTCCTTCATCTGCCTTGTCTACCTTGTATGAGATGGCACAGGTTGGGAGGGGCGGTAGGAAGGAAGGAGAAACCCTGAGGAGGGCGGGGCTATGAGTAGCGAGGTGGAGACCTGGAATACAAGCAAAAAGCCGAAAATGAGGAGGGGAGAAATATTCCCGCCCCCCCCTTAAGTTAAACTCGGCGCCGGGACAGCAGTCAGGCACCCGCTTTCATTCACTGGTGTGGTTTTTCACCTTTGTGTAGAGAGGCTGATCTTTGTGGGGCACACTGCACCTCACCTACCTAGTTTCCGCAATTTCAGTCTCCACGACACGCACATGGAAACTAGTAACGGGCTTTAATTGGCTTCATGCCCCTTTTGCTACTGAAACACGCTGTCCAGTTCCATGAGCAGGGACAGAAGTGGTTGTGGAGTGTCACAGCCCTCCTCTTGGGGTGCTGATGGTGGGGGAATCAGAACGGCGGGTCTCTGGCACCAGGATGCTCAGGGCAGGGTACCTTTTTTTTTTTTTTTTTTTGCTGGGTTTTAAAAATGTCTTTCAGCACTCGATTGCACAGGAGCTGCCTCTGATTCCTACTGATTCTCCTTCAAGTGAAATAATATCCACTTAGAAAAAAAGCCAGATGGAAAGCCAAGGACCCCTGCTGGCTACAAGAAGCCTGAATGTGGGCTCTTCAGTCTGAGTCTGCCCTGCTCAGGAGGGGAGGGGCCATGGTCCACGGACAGCCAGGGCCACAAGAGCAAGGGACTAGAGGACTCCAGGGTGAGGGGCATGGCCATCAGACAGTGCATTCTCTAGGCATGTCCATCAGCAAGATCCATACTCTCTTTGAAAACAGGGACCGTGTATAGATAGTTAGTGTGTTTGGAGGGGTGTGAAGATACTGATTAACTTCCAACTCTGCTAAAAGAAATATGTATTAGAAAATTCTAGAATAAGCACAGATCAGATTACCAATGCTTAGGAAAGAAATGAATTAACTGGGGGCAGAAAGCGCAATTCACCGAACAGCCGAGGCTGAACACGCAGACTTTGTCCTCAGTTGTGGACAGTGCTTTCCAGCTGGACTTGAAGATGAAGACCCAGGGGTACACACAGGAGGACTGCCGTAGAGTGAGGCCGGCCTGGACCACAGAGAGAGAGACCCTGTCTCTAAATAAACAAAATTAAAAACCTGAATACAGGTTCTTTGTGAAAAGCACAAACTGAATATTGATGTCACCGAGGAAAGGGAACTGGGAAGCAGCAGGAACTCGTCACTGTGTGAGCTGCGAAGTGTTTCTTGGTGTGACTATTTCACAGCTCCTTCACACTCATCTTTCCTGGCTGGTCACGGTGGTGGGTGCCTGTGATATCAGTATTTAGGAGTCAGGTGGGGTTTCTGGTTCAAAGCCAGTTTGGCTTACATATAGAGATTAAGTCACACACACACCACACACACACACACACACACACACACACACACACACACACAAGTAAAAACAAAAACAGCACACGGGTGTACACACACAACCAACAGACTGCCATGAAGATCTGTGCAACAGCCTTCGTAGGGGCCCAGGCTCCCATTGGGTTATGGTTAGTGTGAATTGTCAGCTTGACAAAATCTAGAATTAGCTGGGAGATGGGCCCCTGAGCATGTCTCTCTGTGTGTATGTGTGTGTGTGTGTGTGTGAGAGAGATGGCCATCTTGCAGGCAGCTGTCTGGAGATGAGTCTGAGCTGCTGCTTGCCTGAGACTGTGAGATGGAGCAGGCTGCCAGCCGCCATGAGCTAAGCAGCATGGTTTTGGATTCCCACCACAGTACACAGAGGAGTCTCCAAGCCGTGCAGTGTGGTGCATGGTGGATTTAGCCTTTGCTAGTACAGACAAGGAGGAGGAGGAGGAGGAGGAGGAGGAGGAGGAGGAGGAGAAGAGGAAGAAGTGTTTGTGCTACATGCTGCTGGATGGAAGCATAGACCCACTGCCTCACAGAGTCAGTGATGGTTCCCCCAGACCCGGTGGCAAATGTAGTTCAGCCATGTTGGAAAGCTGAAGTGGGCAAAGCCAGCAGCCAAAGCTGCCATTTCAGTCCTAGTAATGCTGCAGTTTAAACCAATAGATTCACAATAGGAGAGATTCAGACGGGATAAACCCTAAACAGTTTACAGTGTGTGTGTGAAAATGTACGTAGGCTTGGAAGAGAGAGGAAAAGGAATATAGACAGTTATATAAAGAAATAGAAAGTTTTAAAAAATAAAGTCTTTAAAGAGAAAGTAAAAGCAATATAAAAAAATAAGCCACGTAAAGATAGAAACCACACAGAGACTCTGGATTATATTGTCTTTGGAATTTTTAACTGGAGAGAGACATTTGATTATAAAGGCTACTAAGTTAAACCAATATATGTGTCTTGACTTCAAAATTTGGATCTAAGGATATATTGCTTTGGAAAGGAGGCTCTGTTTTTGTTTCCACAGGAAGCAAGAGGCTATGGATTTGTTCCAGGTTAAGATGGATCAGATTTGATCAAGCCAGACCTCTTGAACCTTAACAGACAGTACCTATCAACAAAAGTTATAGCAGATCTTCCCAGGATTTTTACCATTATCTTGAATTTTCTCAGGATCCCCATAAGACTACCAGCACCCACAATCAGTAGGAAGTAGCCTAGAAAACTATGCTCACATTCCCCAAAATCTGGATTATGGATATTTGTCTTTGTTTAGGTTGTTGGTTACAAATTGCTATTGGTCATAGTCAATATCTTTCTAAAGAAAAAAGGGGGATAGGATATAGATATGATAGGATGAAAGGGTAGATTATTGAATCTACTTTTAAAGAGCAATAACTTATGTAAAGTATTTTACATTTCTATGGATTTTAGTTTATTGATACAAATTTAAAGTTAATTTTGTTATACTGTATGTATATTTTTACTCTTGTTTAAGGTATTATGTTTATACAACTCATTTAAAATTGTGTGCCGGGCGTTGGTGGCGCACGCCTTTAATCCCAGCACTCAGGAGGCAGAGCCAGGCGGATCTCTGTGAGTTCGAGGCCAGCCTGGGCTACCAAGTGAGCTCCAGGAAAGGCGCAAAGCTACACAGAGAAACTCTGTCTCGAAAAACCAAAAAAAAAAAAAAATTGTGATGTATCATTAAGAAATACAGATTAATAGTTAATCATCTATGATAATCAAACTTGTAGTCATGTTAGTTAAGTTTTCTAGATATACATAGATATATTTCAATTAGGTAGGTAATCTTCAAACACTTCAAAGACTGACAGAATATGGCATTTAAAATGTTTTAAGGGCTGGAGAGATGGCTCAGCAGTTAAGAGCACTGGCTGCTCTTCCAGAGGTCCTGAGTTCAATTCCCAGCAACCACATGGTGGTTCACAACCATCCATAATGAGATCTAGTGCCCTCTTCGGACCTCCAAGCATACATGTAGGCAGAACACTGTATACATAATAAATAAACACATCTTTAACAACAACAACAACAAAATAATAAAATATTTTAGAAACTTAGACTTTCTGGACAGTGAGACTGCTTCTGGCACCACCATTACTTCAAAGAAAAAGATGGGCATTGAAGACACTCCACATGGAGTTTATCTTCTTCTTGGCAAAAATAGCCATTTGGGCAAGAAACTGTTCTTGCCTGGACTGCTTGACAAAATGTTGTATAAACTGGACATGTAGGACACATAGGAAGGTGGCCATTGAACTTTGCAAGGCAAAATTGTCCTTCAGGTTCCTGCTTTACAGAGGAGACTGCCATATATTCTACAGGACAGAGAGAGAAGCGACTGGGAGGCTCTAGGCCTGTAGGCTGAAGAATGGATACCCCAACATTACAGAGGAATTTTGGGTGACTCTCCAGGCAACCAACTGTCTGTCATTTTCAGAATTTTTGAAAGTTGCTTACAATGTACTTCCTGTTTATTTAGGTAACATTATATCCTTCTAGGGTCTTTGATGTAGTTGAAGACTAGATAGTTATAGTTATAATTTTCCTTGGTTATGATAAAAGATAAGATAGATATGAAACTTTAGACTCATAAATATAGAATAGATAGAATATTTTCTTTAATTTTGCCAAATACAAATAGAATAGATATTGTAACTGTAATTCTTGCTTGATAACTGTTCTATTATATATAATTTTACTATATTAGTTAAAACCTTCCTTTTTGATTAGACAGAAAAGGGGAGATGCTGTGAGATAATGCTTTTGTACACTGGTTTAATAAAACACTGATTGGCCAGTAGCAGGCAGGAAGTATAGGCAGGACAAGCAGATGAGGAGAATTTTGGGAAGAGGAAGACTGAGTCAGGCATTACCAGTCAGACACAGAGGAAGCAAGATGACAAGGCAGAGCTGAGAAAAGGTACCAAGCCATGTGGCTAAATATAGATAAGAATTGTGGGTTAATTTAAGTGTAAGAGCTAGTCAGTAATAAGTCTGAGCTAATGGCCAAGCAGTATAATTAATATAAGCTTCTGAGTGATTATTTTATAAGCGGGCCATGGGACCACAAGGGCCTGGCAGGACCCAGAGAAAACCCTCCGACTACACACCCCTGCTTACGTCTCACAACCATTCACACTGCACTGCCATTCACACCCTACCCCTGCTCACACTCCAGCCCGTTTACACCCCACCCTTTGCACACTACATCTCCATTCCCGTCAGATCCCCATTCACACCACATCCTCATTCACAGCAC